GACGAGACGCATGTTCTTTGGCCTTAATAGATCTAGAACGATCAATGAGACTCTTATCACCAGATTTCGTGACACGACTTCTGAAGATGATAGGATGATCTACTCGGCCCTACTGATGCAAAAGAAGGACCAGCAGTTCCTAACAGATCATCTCACATCAGTCTCAGCAGCGCTAACCTTAGCTCGTCGTCAAGGCCTCCTCGCTTCCTGCAGCTGGGGTGAGCAGTTTACAGCTCCACTCTATACAGCCCTGTGGTCCTCTCCATCCATCTTTGACGGAGGAATAGAGAAAGTCTCCAAGGAAGTCACTAAGGATTCCAGAGAAGTCCTTATGATTAAGTCGATGGACACGCTAGCCAGCGTCATCAGGCAGACTTCACAAAGATATTCAGGGAGATCTAAATTCACTGGATTACAGAGAGCACGGGATAGGAAGATGGCCAGCTCCAGCTCGTCGTTTTCGTCGCCCATATGGCAACTATAAAGGAGGATCAGGAAGAGGCAGGGCACCCAGAGGTTCCCGCAACTATAAACGTTGAAAGACAGGTTCGAACGACTGGAGTCTTCCACCCCCAGCCGTTCCAGTACAACCGTCACAAGTGGGTGGACGCCTTCAACTACACTGGGAGAACTGGGGAATGTTACAAGACCCTTATGTCTCCAACATTCTTCAACACGGATATCGTATCCCACTACAGGCCACGCCTCCGCTGACAGTCAACCCTCACAAGTTCGACTTCCAGGCACAACAACTACCAAAGTTAAGAGAGGCTGTTACATCGCTCTTAACCAAACAGGCCATAGAAGTACTAGATCAAGTAAACGTGGAACCGGGCTTCTACTCCCCAGTTTTCCTTGTACCCAAGAAAAACTCCAAGGAGAAATACAGACTCATTTACAACATGAGCATATTCAACAGACATTATCTACGCAAACCGCCAAAGTTTCGCATGATACATCTACCTCAGTTACGGCAGTTGATTCGTCCCATGGATTACATGGCCAGTATAGATCTGCAAGACGCATATCTACACGTCCCGATACATCCCGAATCCAGGAAATACCTACGATTTACACTGGACGGGCTGCATTACCAATGGAAAGTACTCCCATTCGGAATATCATCAGCCCCCTGGCTATTCACGAGGATAACGAAACCTATCGTCACCTATCTACATCGTCTAGGGCTACGCAGTGCGTTCTACCTCGACGACGGGATACAAGTAGATCAAGATCCACAGCGTCTCAAACTACAGTTAAACTACATCATAAAGCTACTAACACAGCTAGGATGGTTAGTAAACTTACTCAAGTCGGACCTAGTACCATCGCAAGATCTGCAATTTCTAGGCATTCGATTTATCACGACTCTCAACCGTATCGTCGTGACAGAAGACCGATGGCTCAAGATCCAACAGACCATTCCTCTAGCCCTACTCTCTCCATTACCACTACAACATTGGCAGAGCCTGTTGGGTCTCCTCACATCAGCCCAAGACATGACAGTCAGAGGCAGAATACAGTTACGTCCGTTACAGGTCTTCATCAATGCACATCTCAACGACCTACAACCATTCAGTCTACCGAAACATCTCAGACCTCATCTACTATGGTGGACCAGGAGGTCGAATGTCTGCGAAGGTATTTGTTTAACAGAGCAGGAATTCAAAACCCATCTATATGTAGACGCGTCGCTCCAGGGTTGGGGAGCTCATCTCGCCAACCGGACGGCTTCAGGGTTATGGAATCAGCAAGAAAGCAAACTCCATGTAAACATGTTAGAGATGAAAGCGGTAATCAACGCCATACTTCATTGGAGCACGATTCTACAAAATGCGCATCTGATGATTCATACCGACAACTCGACAGTGGCGTTTTATGTGAACAAACAAGGCTCAACGAGATCACTGAACCTATTGACTTTAAGCTTTCAACTGTTCGATCTAATCGACGATCTCAACTTACATGTCAGAGCATGTCACATTCCCGGAGCCAAGAATGTACTAGCAGACGCACTCTCTCGGCCACATCTACCGTCACCGACAGAATGGATGCTCCATACAGAGATTTTTGCACAGATTATCAAGCAAATAGGAGCTCCGCTAGTAGATCTATTCGCCACACGCTTCAACAATCAGCTACCGACATTCGTATCACCAGTCCCGGACCCACAAGCATGGGCAACGGACGCTCTAAGCATATCCTGGGAAGGCCTCAATGCGTACGCGTTTCCGCCGCCAGCAATAATCCCTCAAGTGTTACAGAAAATCAGACAAACACAGAGCCTCCAACTCACTTTGGTCGCGCCCTACTGGCCAGCCAGAACGTGGTTTCCCATTCTAATTCAAGAACTCGGACAACCAACACTAGAGCTACCAAAGCACTCGAATCTATTAGTACATCCACACACCAAACAGGTGCACGGAAGCCCACAAGTATTCCAACTTCACGTATGGACTGTATTAAAATGTGTTTAAACAAGAGAGGGTATTCAACCAGAGCGGCAAAAGCAGTCACGCTTGCCTTACGCTATTCTACACGTAACTTGTACGACGACAAGTGGCACAGTTTCGAAAATTACGCAGCAAATAAGGTATTTACAGCGAGAGAAGCTACACATCCACAAGTGGCAGATTATTTGTGTTACCTACGCCAAAACAAACATTTAAAAGGCTCGACATTGTCAACATATCTTGCCGCTCTTAGTTCTGTGATAACTATGAGAATGGGTGTCAAGCTAACCAAGACGCCAGAGTTACTGGCCTTACTACGTGCTTTCCGATTGGAGGATCAGAAGCGGAAATTCCACGCCCCAGCTTGGGATCTGAACATAGTGCTCCAACACCTCACAAGTGAGGCTTATGAACCGTTGGAATCGACAACTTTTGAATTTCTCTCACAGAAAACGCTTTTCCTGTCATCTCTAGCCACGGCAGCCAGGATGTCAGAAATTCATGCGCTAGATTATGAGAGGATACAGTTTGATGACAATCAAAACACAGCGCACCTGGGATTAAGATGGGATTTCATCGCCAAAAATCAATTGCCAGGTCAACCAGACAGATTATTCCATATTCCTGCACTCTCCTCGATTCTCGGATCTCAAGATACACTGGACTTATCTCTATGCCCAGTCAGAGCTCTCAAAATCTACTTACGACGTTCCAAAACAAGGCGACGATTTCTCAAAAGATTATTCATCCCCTTATCGGCAACAACTCAGACAGAAGTCTCTCGTACCACCATATCTATATGGATAAGAACTGTCATACTTCGCGCCTACAAGGCAGCAGGACTCGACCCTCCAACAGCATCAAATCCCCATGAGATCAGGGCATTGGCTTCCACACTCGCTCTACACGGTAACTGTTCATTGAATACAATCATGGAAGGATGCTTTTGGAAATCTAACATGGTGTTTGCTAATCACTATCTGAGAGATATCACCACCGAGGACGTCTCAGGTATTCACCATTTCGGTCCCTTGGTCCTCGCACAGCAGTTGACAGTCCCTCGTAGACGTTAACACATAGTCTTACGAGATTATTATGTATATTTCATACCAGTATTATCCAGCTTATAACTCTACGGAGTTTTAGGGCTATGTATATACTTAGCTTAAGTCTACTCAGCTTTAAGCTTATACTGATGATTATGTTCAGTTGTATAGCTTCTCCTTCTCGGAGTCGCTTTTATATCTTTATTTGCTATTATCATAGTATATTATTATTGTAATACCCCATCTATGGCAATGTATAAACTTATGGTTTATAGTAGAGGAATTATCCTAAGTCAGTGCCATTATGAAGTTCCCGTTAGGGGGTTATTACAGTTAGAAATATAAATCACTAATTAATTTCATAAATCCAAAGTATTCTGTTCTTTCCCACCTCCGTTTCCGTAGGATTTTACAAGCAAAAGAGCATGAGTCAGGATAAGGAAAAATATGTAATTTTTAGAGTAAAATTGATATTTTATACTTATCCTGACTCATGAGGTAAGCCCTCCCATCCTCCCCACATAACACTTTGGATTTCCCTGTAAATTCAAGTGTTGGGCTCACAAAATCAGGAGAGAGTGAAGCATGAGGCCAGAGGGTGGCGCCACCTTTTCCCACGCAGAGGCAAAGGGAGGCAACTCTTGGTGAGTACTAATTAGTGATTTTACATTGAAGGGAGCTTCAATTAAGGAGATACAAGTGTTCCACTATGTTCGCAAGAAGAAGAAGACAAGCAAAAGAGCATGAGTCAGGATAAGTATAAAATATCAATTTTACTCTAAAAATTACATTTCTGTAGTTTTTGTGTGAATTTATTTCATCTTCATGATGTAATTAATAGATATGTAAACAATATTTTTCATTCAGAATAAATCTTGTGTAGCTTGTGGGTGTATGAGCATGTGAGCGTGTACTCACGTTATTATTATGACTTGTCTTGTTAGCAAGATATCTTTAAAGTGGATGGCATCATCTGGGAGCACTTGGTCTCAGAATTTTCTGAGATAAATGTTGGATAGATTTGGCAGAACCACCATGTCCAGTTATTGCCAGTTATTACCAAAATCCCAGGTTACCAGGATGATAGCTTAAAGTGGCTATTAGGATGGGAGTTGAAAATAGAAGTTGTGTCCTTACACCAGAAGTGCTTATAACTTGTGTTCAATGGATTTTGGGGACATCACTTAGCAACACTAGTAGGTATTATAAGGGAGAGTGTAGGTAGATATTTGTTAGTTCAGTATGAAATGGAAGATGTGCATGACTGATAGGGGGAAGTTAATTGTTATTATGTTCATCAGAAAAATGTTTGGTGTGCAACTTCAAGAGTGCTGGACAAGATTTCAGAATTCACTATGCAGAGTTATAACTCAAGTCAGTCTCACATAAGATATAATGCCAACATTATGTTTCTGTTGATATACATGTACTTGAAAATGTTTGATTTACTCATTTACCTCGATTGTTGTCATGTTTATAACTGGATTTTTTCACATTGCAGAAAGAAATTGAAAGAACGGCTAAATATACCTGCAAAGTTTCCAATAGGTTTCCAGGTAAGTAAAAGCTTTGAACCAACTAAATCAACCAAACTAGACTTGACTTGTGCTGTCACTGTTGTGATAAATGATAGGATGTGTGGTTGGCCAGGGACTGATTTGCTGATAACTTGAAGAAGTATTGATTGTTGGTTACTGTCTTGACAGTATAGTGATCATTTTGACCCAAGGAGCTCAGTAACTCTCCTTTTGAAATTCTAAATGCAATGTTCCATACTGTCACTTCAGTCACAAGATACTTGTTCAATAAGCACTATGACGATGTGCAATCTTAAACTGGTCATTTTTGCAACTTCATTCAATGACTGCTGATATGTTGAATAATGCAAACTCAACTGATCAGCCTTTGATAGTAATTCAGTATTGCAGTCTTCTAATCAAACCAGTAATATTTATGCCACTGGTACTTTTTATAATATACATATATTTATACTGATATTCAGATAAGTGTTTATACAAAACTTGTTCCTCCATACAAACTGCATCTGTCTATTGATAACCAACCAGTCTAATAGACTGGATTCATCAAGTAAAAGTTTCAGGTCAGCTATTTGGTTTCATATGGAGTCACATCAACTAATGAACTAATCAACATGATTAATTTTCATTGAAACTATCCATGATATAAATCAGGAAATAAATAAAAATTGTGTGTAATTAATGACAAAATAGTGAACAAATTTTCAGTCAAGAATTACACTTTGCCCAAAGGTAATTTTTCAAAGTCCATGTACGGCTACAAAAGCTGATATCATCGACACAAAGGAATTATCATTCACCAAGCAACCCAGTCAGAACAGCAAATATATCAGCAGCTGTGATACTGCAATTCTTCTTCTGTTCTTTTACAACACTTTTACCTCCATATCAGTGTGAGAAACAAACAGTGTGATTCTTGGCTCAGGATCTGAATATCATTGCCCTGTTGCCCAATCTTTTTATGAGTGATCATCAAAACCTTTTTAACTACAAGAAGTATGATCTAGGGTTTTAAGCAGAGAAGCACATTAAAGATGCAGTGATGCTGACCAAAGGTGTGATTTATGACAAACAGATCATTCATTTTGGTCATTGAGAAAATACTCAGCAAAGGTCCATTAACTTTCATTCTGGCAAGACATCTCTCATCAGTTACCTCAAGGATGTGGTAAACAGTGGTAAAGTTAAGAAAAGTGGCAACACTTCTTGTAAACTTAAAGTAAGGTATGTCGTGACACAAATGTTGATGGAGCTTTAACCCTGTATGACAAGCCCTTACTTCTCCAAGCAACTATGTCAAGACAGATGTATGAGTCCTGTCCCGACCAGCAGAATACAGAAAAGGAAAGACAAGAAAAAGAGAAAGCATATGTTTAAATAACTGTCAGAGCTCAGAGCCAAGTGAAATACTGAGACCATCAAAATAATCATGAGATACGATAGAGAGTACAGGCAAGATCAATCATATCCCAGTCCACTGGTATGGGGGGAGCAGAAAAGGAAAAAAACAGCCAAGAAACCCAGTATAAGAACAGACTCTCACATTTTATTTCCTCCTTTAGGTATGTAACTATATAACAGTGATGTGAACTGTCCAGATATGTTGTAACATTTATCATCTTGTTTGTGTTCTTTATTTGCCTTGAATGTGAAGTGCCTTGAATACAGGCTTTGTTATGTGTGAGTACCGAAGTTGAAACAATAACCTATTAACCGAAAATCAGTCAGCAAAAGAATTTGTTTTGACACCAATAAACATCAAAGAATTATAAGAAATATTGAAAGTTTACAAATCACTACAATGGATTTAAAATGGCAGTACAAAATAAACTGGCAACACAAAATCTGTGGCGGTACAGATACAATGACAATAGAATGTATAAACAGTGATTATAGCTATAAAGTCTGTGACTACACTTGAATATATAGGATGCTTGAGGAACTTCCAGACATTCCAGATCTTTACTCCAAGTCTACAGTCCATTTGAGTCAGAAACAGACCGATGAATTGCAAATTATCATTGTACAAAATTGCCACATAAATATAAATAGTACACATGTTTATCATTTACTAATACCCAACAGCTTTCTTATATTTGAATATTTTCCGGACTCAACCAAAAATGTTCTTTAAGAAACTATCATCATTGAAAACCAAAAGTTGTTATCTGTCGCGGCGGGGTGAAACCGCAGAAACGGAACAGCCAGTCATGGCGAGGGACATCTCAAAATCTATTCCGGGAGACCTGTCGGTTCCTCGTCTGTCGTAGTGTCATAGTCACGACTGAAAGGGATGACAAGTGGTGCCACAGTTGCCTGTTGTAAGCCATCCCGAGACCAGTAACCTTGTTCAATGATGTTAGCTACCTTGGTTGATACAGTTTTGCCAAGTTTCAGTCATGATTTTGTTAAGGGATTCCTTAACCAAAACCTCTACGTCACGTAATCTAAAAGTTGTGTTTGATCTGGCAACATCTCCTTTGACAATACCCCATATCATTTCAATGGGGTTAAGGTCACAGTGATAGGGTGGTAGTCGCAGAATATCGTGACCCTAACTTTTTATGTAACTGTCAACTTTGTAGAAAGGTTCACCTTTGTGGGTTTTTATGATCTCATATAGCTGAGGCTTCGTTGCCGTTGAAGGCCGTGCGATCTGAAATTTGTCGAGCCATGATATCATATCACCTTTTCGACTGTTCGATGTCGGGGCTTTACTGTCGGGGTCCTGCACGCTGTGGTATGGGGCATTGTCCATTACGATAAAAGACTTCTCTGGTAGAGCTGGTACCAACTAAGCCAATCGAGGAAAACCACACCATTCATCTTGGAATGGTAGTCTCTGTTTTCTGTGGACTTTGCCCTGAATACCAAGTCGCAGCCTGGGAGAAAGCCTTTGCTGGAGCAACCAGCATGGAGAATGATTAGTCTCTCTCCTTTCCCTAGAGGCAGCTTTCTACGTGACCCCTTATCACCCCCATCGGGTACCCACTAACTGCTGGCAGTGTGCGAGGCATTGACCCAGGTCTCGTCCAAGTACACTGGCTCGAACCCTTCCTCGCGCTTCTTCTTTATAACCCTGAGTAAATTATTTATCAAGCGAACAATATCAGGGCGTTCAAAGAGTACTGACCTATTCTCCCCCGAAATTTTCTTATAACGATACCAGAAAGAGTGTAAGAGTCGCCAGAGTGTGTACTTTGATACTCTGAGGTTGTGTTCTTGCTTCAAATGCTTTTATAAAATTTTCAGCGACATGTATTTGTTTTCAGAATAGAGCTTGTTGATAGACTGCCTTACAAGGTTCTTTTGAAAGTTATCAAAATGTTTTAATTTGTGTGATTTTGACACGACCCCTACCTGCTTCGCATCACCCTCACAATGTTTGTGTTCCAGAACATTTGTCAGTACCCTTGCTGATACTCCTAAAGCTTTTGCTGCCCGCTTACGGAATTTATTAATGGCATTAAATGGTTTGCCCCTTTCGGCTTCAGCACGGAAAAAATCGTTACACTTTAATCATCAACTGTTTCACGTCAGCATTCAACTTCATTTTTCATCAGGCATGTGTATCCCGTGCACGACGAGATAGTGGCTGTTCCGTTTCTGCGGTTTCACCCCGCCGCAGCTGATAACAACTTTTGCGTTTTGAATGATGATAGTTTCTTTAAGAACTTTTTTGGTGGAGTCCGGAAAATTTTCAAATATAAGAAAGCTGTTGGGTATTAGTAAATGATAAACATGTGTACTATTTATATTTATGTGGCAATTTTGTACAATGATAAAATTTGCAATTCATCGGTCCGTTTCTGACTCAAACGGACTGTAAGTATCGTAACTGCCACATCACTCCCCTCAACTGAATCACTGCAATGTATAGCACTGCCACAAATCATCGGAACTTGCACAACGCAAATCATTACCAACCCTGGGTTTTTTTATTTTGCAAACACTATTTTAGTTTTACATAAGTGTCCTTAACAATGTCTAATTTGTTTTACAGGTTTTCTATCTGCCCTCGTAAATTAATTGTATTATATTTTTCAGGCTCACCAAGATACCATATCAAAAACAGGCTCGACTGCCAAGAATCGTTTCACAGTCTAACATTTGGCCTTGAAAAGTGACTTTGCTGGACTGTGCATATTTGAATGCAGGTGGTTCCAGTGCTATGCTTGGCAGCAGGAAGTATTCCCCATCAATGAAGTGGTGGCTACCCTGCCAACTTGCCTGTCTGCGCACCAACATGCCTGTGTGTCTGTGTCTGCCTGCCTACCCACCACCAGCCTGCTGGCCCATGTCATTGGTTGTGGCACCCCCTTGTGTACAGTACATATAAGGCAGAGAGACACAAACACATGATAGCTGCTTGCTCCTGGACACTTTTTTATTCATGGATTTAACAGTTAAAAACACTTAAGATGAAAAGACTATCCACAATTATGAATGATCAGTATGTGGACTACCTTATTCTGTACGGTTCCTCTTTGATAAACTTGTGTCCAAGACAGTTCTAGAACAGCAAGAGTAATGTATCATATTTTCATACATATGTAAAAAATCATGTCCATGGTTCAATAATTCATCATTGTAGATGATGAAAGCCTCAGAGCTTTACAACATGGGTGTGTTTACATTTCAACCACACGGAGATCTATACTGTTCATTTGTTATTTATAAATACTAGTTCACATTGTTATAACCATATTTACCTTCCTTTGGTTGAAATGGAAACAAGAGTAACCATTGTCTTGCAAGTGTTATCTCTCCTTTTCAGTATGTTCACTTTCTATTGCGTTACATGTAGCTCACCTAATCATGTAATTATGTTCTTGTTTTATTGTCTTTAATTAACATATGAAATCGAGTTGCATCATGAGAAGAGGCCATTTGTTATGGTGGTGGTGAACTTGTGAGCATGAGAGGAGGGCAGGGGTGGAAATAACTTTAAAATTGCTAGTGTACTCCGTTACAGTCGCACATGTAAAATCACTTGCCCTGATAATTTTTCCACTATACCAGCTGTTTTCTTGTTGATTTTTTACATAAAGAACATAATTAACATTGGAAAGTCAACTGGACACCGGTACAGTGTGATATACAAATTGGCTTGCCCGACAGAAAAAAACACTGGACTCGAGCGTCAGGCAATGGGTTATTTCCACCCCTGGGAGGGCATTTTGTGTAAATGAATATGCTATTTTAGGGAAGGTCATGAAAAAGGACAAATGTTTATCTCCCCAATATTAGGACAAGTGAGTATGTCTGTCGATTGTGACTTTCATCCCTCAGATGCAACAGGGCCAGTGAAGCTGAAACTTTGCAGGATTGTTTCTATAAATTTGCACTTTGTTCAGAAGGTCCTAACAAAATGGTTGCTTAGTGAAAAGAGACATTTAGATAAAAACATAACTTGGCCATTCTTTTAAAAAGATGATACTCCATAGTTTATGGATGGGCTGAACTTGTTTGTCATATTTTGAACCAACATGATGATTTGAAGTTTGAATGTTTATCATGCCTTTATATTCTCTAAGGCTGATTTCTCTGCTTTCTATTTCTAACAATAGTGAGATCAGTGTGCTTCGAAATAGGCTAAATATCGATTCTTAGGCAGATTACTATGACGATACAGATTACTATGTGATAAGGACGAACTAATGAGAAGTAGCAATTTATGACCTGGCTTGTCCAGGTCTCATCCTGTTCAGATCACATGGATCACTGCAGTCAACCCCAAGAGTACCAGTCTAGATATATTTACAGGCAACTTTGATGTAGCTAAAGTAATTTTGACATTCACACCCTGTAGTTATTGTTTGAGTTTTCATTACAATTGTTTCCAGTTTTAGCACTTAAACAATCTGCTGACTTCAAACTTGGCGTGAATGCTAATGGCTGCAAGTTGATTAAATTTTGTTAAGGCATCATGAATAAAATAAATGATAGGAAAAAACAGAAATTCTTCCTTGTTCTCCTGAGTGAGTTAAATGTACTGTGTTGTGACACAAAATCACGTCGATGGCCAGTGGATAGTGTGGCTGTTATCCTTTGCATTTTCAATGTATTCTCTGATATTTCCAAGTCTATGTAGCTGCAATGATAAATCTAAGTGGTAAGAATTTTACACATTGTTCAGCAGTTCAAGGTTATAAATTTCATACTCTTCAACAACTCTGAATAGCAGAAAAGATATTTTTCCCCATTTATCACCTTTGACATATGAACCTGGGAGTCATGATCAACTTGTAAATCAACCTTGCAATATTTAAGAATTGACTTGTGTGTGAGTTCATTGAAATATGTGCCCTCATAGAGTGAAGGCCAAACATTTAATCGTCAGAGTTTTCTTCGACATTCATAGAATGTTTGGCCATCACTCTATGCATGTTCATACTCCAGTGAACTCTCACAAAGTGAAAGTCAGTTCTTGTAACCATTTAAAGCCCCATTTTATACCTTCACAAATGCAGTACACATTTCATGTAGTACATGTGACAGTCTGCACAGACAGCCATACAACACCCAACTGTTATGCCAAATAAGATAGTTTTTCAAAAGGAGATGTTACATGAGTGATTATCTTACCTCACACATAAATGTTGCTTTCTGATTGGCTGAGCACTCTTCTATTATTTTCAATGTACCCCCGCTTACAAGCGAGTAATATTTCAGTGTACCCGCTGTCAATGGCAACTCATTCTGTACTTCGTAGTAGTAATTCTTTATCTCGAATAACATTGAATCACGTATGATGTACGGAAATTACCGATGCTTTGCGAATGCAAATCGATGGAAGGGAGATAACTCTAAATCTGTTTTTCTTGTCAGCAAAATCTAGCGATGGCTGCTAAAAGATTTGTACCCGTGCTTCAAACAATTCAAAATTAACATTAAGGTGTTCGGAAAGATAAATGCATTGTTCACTGGTCCCGCGGGGCCCATGGGTTGATGTACCATAAACAAACATCAAGGGTACATCAACCCATGCCCCCCTCGTGACCAGTGAATAACTTATAATGTATGCTCCCTTTTCTCTACAGGAAAGTCTTCCGGTTTGGGGTTACAACATAAGGATTCAAATACTACCACGAATAGAAGAAAAATGTGTCTTACGAAGTACCTCAGTTAGTCAGTCACATAACTTTGCTTCATAATACATTTACATCAAATACAGGAGTCAAAATGACCGACACAATAGATGTATAGGGGAGGGACGGACATGCAATCAAACTATCTGACTTATCCCAATTTATGCTGAAATTTTCATTGTAAGATTAAAGGGTCTAAATGATCAGAAACAAAGCAACCCTATGTATTTATTTATTCATGCTTGGGAATTCCCAGGGGTTTACCAGGAATACGGAAGTAATCCATGTGTGGTTTACATCAATTCAATACAGTCGCGTGTAAAACGTGAACGTCAAAATATGTCGTTCATGCACATACCTTGTGTTGGCAGTGGGGTAGCCTAGTGGGTAAAGCGTCACGCTTGAAGACCATGGTTCCATTCCCCACATGGGTACAATGTGTGAAGCCCATTTCTGGTGTCCCCTGCCATGATGTTACTGTGCCGAATGGTTGAATTAACTTATTGAACCGTTCATTGAAGAATTCTATTACTTACTGTTAAGAGTTTTAAAGAACAGATGAAGCATTTTCTCAACTCTTTTAATGATGTTTCTGGTCCAGATTGGATTATTTACCTCCAAGGGAATTGTAAAATTGCCAGCTCCAGCAGTAAACACACAAACAAGCTATTGGAGGCATGGGATTTTCTGTTAAAGTTTTCCTCTTTTAGGCATGTTTTTGAAGGTTGCAGTGATGTCATTGAACCAGGAGTGCCCATATAGTCACATTTGTTTTGTACCTGTTCTGACCTTATTTGGCCTTATGTTCCCAAGCTTCTCCCGAGTTTCAACTCCTTACTTTTAAAGGCTGCACAGACCATATGTACTTGTCTGATTTTCCCTTTCCTCCTCCCCCTCAGCTGAAGTTTGGTCAAAGCCATGTTGGTACTATCACTAGTCTAGTCTAATGATACTCTTTAAAAGAATCAGTTATGACCCAATCATTATACTCGCTGAAAATCTATTTTGTTTCATTTCGTTTTTGCCAAGTATCTTAGTTATTTAGTTACAGTGATGCAATTGATGCTTTCCTCTTGACTCATTATTGCTTTTCTGAATCTACTGATGTTAACCAGATCATTTTCATTGCTACATGTAAATTGCATGCAGAGTGTCTAAAAACTGATTAATGCTAATTTCCTTTTCACTGTGAGTGCACTTTGGTGCAATGAAATTGTCTCACTGCAGAGCCTCTTTGTTTCCTCATGTTGTATGATCCCAGTGTTCATGTGAAGACGAATACTGATGTTGGCTATATTTCTAGGACCCTCAGTGGCTTCTTTAGTTACCTATTTTCCAGAAATGATGTCTGCAACATATGGTCTGAAATTAGTCTTATAATAAATAGTTCACGCTGCTGGTTTTTTTCAAAGACAAACCCTCATATTGATTTTAAGGTGATTAATGTTGATTAATGAGATCAGTTAAATTTTTTATTGTTTGTCAGCTTTGTCAGTCATCTGTCCATGCATACACAAACTGTTGTTTTGTTTGTTGTTGTTTTTCTGTGAAGCTAATTTGAGATGCCATTATGATTTCTGCAATTACTGCAGTTTAAAACTATGCTTGCTTCAAGTTTATGAATTTTGTGGGGGGGTTTCCTATGAATTGTTGGCATGCATCAGGATGCATCAGTGACATGAAACATTCTACAGCAAGACTATGCTTACCAATATCCATTACTCAGTGATAAAGGGGTCTCTTATTGGTTGTGTTGAAACAGACTCAAGCCTTTTATTGATGAATCTTTTTGTGCCAACAGCAAATCTAATGCATGAGCAAGCTATTGCTCCAAAACTTGAAGCATCACATATTCTTTCGGGGGGAAAATGTTAATTATCGCTACTTGATAAATTTGGTTAGCGTGTGAAGATTTTATCACTACTAAGATTGAGGCATAATGAAAATGTTGAAGCAGAAATCCACACTGGAGATTTCTCATAGGTGACGGCAATTCAGAGAAAAGTAAACATTACTCTTTACACATGAAGAAATTCTTTGAATCCTACTGAATATTTTAATTAGGACTGGCATTTCTGCTCAGGTTTTTCACTGACTATCCCAGCATTAATAATAATACTGAACATGCCCTGTTTACTCGGTGCCATTTCTGCAGGTATTATTTGACATGCTGTTCAAATATATGGTATGCTGAATAACATTAGTTTTATTACACTTGTTACAACATTTGACCTTAACTTAATCCATAACATACCCAGTAAATCTAGTCTTACTGCATTTGGACATGTTTTTGAAACCACATATTCTGAGTACTCTCTAATTGCTTTAACCTTCTTGTACCCTGGAGGCTTCCATGTTGAAAATGTAAATTTTGCCATATACAGTTATTGATTTCACAATTTGCAATTCCATGTGTTAACAACTTGGATGTCTT